ATCCGTTGCTTGTCATTTGTATCCCTCCAGCTTCTGTGACCGAAAGTGATTTCCTGCTTAGACTCTTCTACAACTTGTGGTCTTGGTTGTTGACTTGTGGTCCGGACAACATACTTATGATAGTTTTGCAGAAGTGTTCTCCGGAGAGAACACTTCTGCAAGTCGTCTATACTTTCAAAACTATTTGATAAGTGTTTATCAGAGGCTTGTTTTTCAGCTTGCCCAAAAGCGGTATCTGTTATACTTCTATAATTCTGGAGAGCAATCTTACTTTTCTAACTACCGGCCCATTAGTTTTCTACTTATTGTAAGCAAGGTTTTTGAGTTTTTAATTAATAAACACTTAATCTCTCATCTTGAGTCTAACAACTTACTTTATGATCATTAATATGGATTTCAATCTTCTCGCTCTACTGCTGATTTGTTAATGGTAACAACTGATAGGTTTTATTGTGCGTTAGATAGATATGGAGAGGTTAAGGCTATTGCTCCAACATTTCTATAGCATTTAATGAAGTTTGGCATGTTGGTCTTCTTCATAAGCTCTTCTCTTACGGTGTATCAGGTAACATCTTTAAGATTATTGAATCCTTTCTTAATATTTGTATGTTGAAAGTTGTTTTCAATGACCAGTACTCTACTTCATTTCCTGAAACTTCAGGAGTTCCTCAAGGTTCTATCCTTGGCCCTATACTTTTTTTTTATTTACATTAACGATCTCCGAGAAACTCTCACATCTAAGGTGGTATTGTTTGCTGATGGTACTACCATTTACTCTTGTTTTGATAAGAAGTCAACACTCACTGATTGCTTGGAGGGGACATTTGAAATTGAAAAGGATCTCACTTCTGCTATAGCATGGGACTCACAGTGGCTGGTGAACTTTAACTCAGATAAAATTCAATTTTTTTCAGCAAATTGTTATTGAAATAAATCTAGATCTTCCTATATTTATCGACAGTAATGTACTTGATGAGCCATCTACCCTTCATTTTCTAAAATTAACTCTTACTTCTGATTTTTCTTAGAAACCATATATCAAATCGATTGCAAAATTAGCATCTGCTAAGGTTGTATATCTTTTTCGTGCTCAACACTTTCTAACTTCGGATTTTATTCTATAAATCTCAAATGCCCCCTTGTATGGAATACTCTTACCATATCTAGAGTGGATCTTTGAATGATGCCCTTCCTCTTTTAGACCTGGTGCAAAAATGCATTGTAAACATAGTTGGACCTGCACTTACAGCCAACCTTTAACCACCTTGTTACACTGTCGTAATGTTGCTTCTCTTTCTCTTTTCTAATAATACTATAATGGGCGCAGCTCTAAAGAGCTAGTATCTCTTGTGCCATTTATTAAAATTCATTCTCGTGTTACTTGTCATTTAATTAAGTCTCCTCCTTTTACTGTGACTGTTCCTAAGTGCTCCAAAAATTCTTATTTGTCTAGTTTTTTTCCTCGAACATCAGTTCTTTGGATTTGCTTCCTTCCTGTTGTTTTCTTAATTTTATTTAATTTGCAATCTTATAGGTCATTTTTTAATCGTTATCTTGCTCTACAATCTTCATATTTTCTCTTCTATCAACTTTTAACTCAAATAGTGGTTGCTTGTATCCTTGTTGTAAGTGAAGATGTAAAAAAAAAAAAAAATTTTCTATTAACAGGTTATAACTAAAAATGAGAATAATTCTAACCCTCTGAAACCAATCATATGTGAAACTATATTCTCTGCTTACAAACTTATCATATGTTTTGCATCAGCTAATTCAATGGTGTTTAAAATGCCGTCAAAACAAGATGTACTATGCAAGCACATTGTACAGTTCTATCAAATGCACAAAAATCTTGGAAAAAAATTTACTGTGAATCATTTTAAAACCCAAAAATGTTCCAGTTTCAACTATTTACCGTATTTTGGCATCAACCAATCGTAAAAGTGGTAGTAGAAGACTAGCTAAAAAATGTTTAAGCCAAGTGGTTTGCTTATTAATCAAGAAGTATACCAAAATTAATGTTTAAAGAAAATATTGATTCCATTTTTTCGAAAATATCATTCAGATGGCAATTACTTGATTTGGCCGGATAAAACATTATTGCATTGTGACAAAAAAACTAAGTCTTCTTGGAAAGCCAAAACATCCCATATGTACCAAAAAACCACAATCCAACAAACTTGCCTCAGTGTCGCCCAATTGAAGATTTCTTTGGATATTTGAGTTCGTTAGTGTACAAAAACTGGAGAGCTAAAAATTGCAAACAATTGATTACCCGAATCAAAAGATACATTCGTCAAATTGATATAAATGCTGTACAATACTCCTGTTCCAACATCATGACAAAACCACATCGAACTGCTAATGATGGACCATATTCGAATGTTCATTAATTTTTTCTTAAAGATAAGTGATGTACCTTCAAATAAAATATTTATAACTTTCATTTTCTAAATATTTGTTTTTATTATAGCCTGATATAAAAATTATCATTTTTTAGTTATCACCACTTACTACTCGTGGCGAAATTAATTTAACCATAACTGATTTAAAAACTTTCACTGCGCAAACTCGTTTTTTATTAAATGCTCAAATTATTTAAAAATCAGTTGTTGGGACAATTTGAAAATTGTATTGTTTTTTAAAAAGAAAAAATTAAAGGAAACAACCTTTATAAACTAAAGCATTAGTTAAATAAAGAGTAAAAAATTTACATAGGACTAACAATACCTTGTGAATGGCGCTGTGGCTAGAGGGTTAAATGTCCTCCCCGCACTTAAACCTGTCATTGAGGTGCCAAAATCTTAAAAGCTTTAAAAAATCATAAACCTTAATCTGTTACTTAAAAAAAAAATTAAAAAAAAATTTTGAGGATCCCTAAACTTGGAAAATGACCTATAAATTTGAAGAACGGCGTAAGTGGCTAACCCATCTGCTTATGAATTACGCATATAGATCTATGTAATTTGGGGTAAAGATATTGCTTGTAGAATTTTAAATATTCATCAAGTCTTTGAAAGTTGTGTAATGGAGATAAATATAGATCAAACACTAAATTATTTTTATTACAAAAACATGCAGATCAAAGTTTATTATAGTGCCTCAGAAATTTGACCTCTAAGTTGATGATGCTTCTTCGACAAAATATTTTTACTTTTCAAAGTAACCTTTTGCACACTTCATTTGTGTAATTAATGTCTAATGGACAATCATCCCAAATATCACAATGTCTTTCCAAATACTCAGGGTAATTACCAGTTAATGTCAATTTAAACATCATTTTAATGTCAGCATTTCTTCTGAAAAATAACCATGGCTAGGCGTAGTAATCTACAATAAAAATGCACACTTCTATTATTGGGTCAAATGTAAATATTTCAATTAATAGATAGCTCTTGAATTCCATTGTGCATTAAAAATAGGCCCTGGTTTAAAAAAATGAATCACAGATAAATTGATAACCATTCCTACTTTATTTATTACTTTTAATAACTGGCTTGTTAGGCAATTTTCAATTAAATCATAGTACTTTCTAGTCAACTCATTAATGAACCAATAAATAATATTAGTCAATGTTGATAAGGAATCAAACTTTAAATTCATAAATTGCTTTAGAATCAGGTTGAAAATGTGAACAGTCAATAAGGATGATACGCAAAACCTGGAATAATTTTTGTCAAACAATAATTACTTCATTTTTAGAACCTGTATTTACTACAGTGGTGTCAGATATTACAACCGAAATTATATTTAATAAATTGAATTCAAAAAATTTTTTGCATAACATGTTATAAATAAAGACAAAGTTGTATTTCTCTAATATTTTCAAAGGTATAACCAAAGATCCAGACTTATTGTTTATAGTGTTGTAATAGTGTTGTTTGTCTATGCTCTCCTCATCAAAATGTAAGCATTACATTACTTCCGAAGAGTTGATATAAGGTTGAATCAAACTTATTATTAATAATATATAATATTTCATGCGCGAGTGTGGTAGATACTTTTTGTACTGCTAATATGCAAATCAAAGTCTCACCAACTGCGTTGAATAATTATTCAACATCACTATTGCTTAATAATTATGCAATATTACTATTGCTTAATAATTATGCAACATCACTATTGCTTAATAATTATGCAACATCACTATTGCTTAATAATTATGCAACATCACTATTGCTTAATAATTATGCAACATCACTATTGCTTAATAATTATGCAACATCACTATTGCTTCTACAACTTCTTTGCAGTATAACTTATTAAATACCCTTCATTTTCAGCTATCTTTATGCACTTGTCAATGGGATGGTGTATTCATCATTTGTACGATTATCTTATGAACTTTCACTAATAGACTTTGTCTTTATCATCAAACAGTTTTTTAGTTCTTTTAGACAGCAAGTTTTGCAGATGGGTTGTAATATGTCAAAATAATGTATTGACCGATTGGAAGTTCATAAAAGAGTTTGTCTTTCTGATTTATAAGCCAAATAAATTATCTTATTTATAATACTTGTCTTCATATTTGTACTTTATACTGATTTAATAACAAATTTATAACATTAGACTGCAGACTTCACTTTCCGTCACATAGATAAGTACCATGGAAACCTGGAAAAAACTAGAAAAATTTTCTAAATAATCTTAATAATGAAAAAATATTTCAAACTAAGTTGTATAGTATCATAATAAAACCACCATTATATGATTCTATAACGGCCACTAGATAATTCTATTACCTTAATTTTAGAAAATTTTTAAGTATAGTTACTTTTCCTGGTGCTACAAACCTCTCTAAACCTTTTAACTTTGAAAAACAATGAAGAACAGTATATATATATATATATATATATATATATATATATATATATATATATATATATATATATATATATATATATATATATATATATATATATATATATATATATATATATAATATATGTATATATAATGACAATACAATAACAGATTAACATAATAATAGATTAATAACATACAATGCTATTAGTGTTTGGTAGTGCTGTTGCTAGGTGCTCTGCAATTAGAACTTCGGAAAGATCTTTCCATATGAAAGAGCCTAAAAACAACATTCTCTATAATATTATCTGGGTTAAAAATAAAATACTTAAAAAATAAAAAATAAACTTTATCGATAGATTACCTGCCCAAACAAAACTTTCAGTCAATGTAGCAGCACCCCTTGTATATCTACCAATTTGTCAGTCAATAAAGTAACACTCCTCGCATGTTCTACCTATTTGTCAGTCAGTGTGTGTAAACAGTAATAAAAGAAAAATAAAACATTAAGAATGTTTTTATTTTTATAAAAAAATTAAAAAACATTTCATTCTACTAAGTTGACCTTTTATGGTTTAAAAAAAAGCGATAAAAATAAATTAGTTTCCTCAATTAAATTTAATGGTTTTTACATAAAGTGTACTTGAGCTGTCAAAAACAGGTTTTTGCCACAAAATAGCAAACTTAGATTAAGTTGCCAACCTCAAACTGTTAGAGGTCGGCATCAGGTCGGCAAAATTAACTTTACACAAAAAGGTTACCATAAAACATAGAAACGAGTTTAGTGATTATCTGCCGACCTCAAACACTTTTAGGTCAGCAGTTAGGTCGGCATTACTAAATGCTGACCCTAATTCTGAGGGCTGATATATATAAATATAAATTTGTTTCTACACTTGCACTTAAATATTATTTCATTGTTTTTATTTTTTAGATTCTGATTTTTGAAAAATATAATTTCATGCTTTTTATTTATGGATAATTTACAGGATTAATTATTATGGATTATTTACAGGTTTATAAGCTTTGCACTGTTTACTTATTTTCTATTTAACAACTGGGTTAAATTAACATCTTTTACTTTCCAAATTTCCTTTGATAGTTCAGATGGTCATGGGTGTTTTTGGATCTTTAAAAGTGGTTATGACCGCTAAAATAGTCATTTTAGCAGTCATAACCGCTAAAATGACTATTTTAGCGGTTATGAGCGCTAAATGACTATTTTCAAGGGTGGTCCTGAGATGTACCAATGTTTTTTAATTAGATGGGATATGTTGCATGTAAATGGGATATGAAATGTATATGGAATATGTATAAAAATGTTTTGCATACATAAATACAAACAATAAATAATCTCTTCAGTGATGGATCCAGTATTTTTTGGTATTTGAGACTTCCAAACATGGAGCAAACATTTGTATGCTTATGTTAAATAATGATGCTTTGCAAAAAATTGCTATGATTGGAGGCTGGGAACAAATAAACCCTAAATTTTTTTTCCTAAAACAAACATGAGGGCAGCAAGTTGATAAAATATTTTTTGTAGTATTCTCAACTAGACTTATATTCACAGAGAAATTTTAAATCAATTCTTAAGTTTCATAGTATTATTTCTCAGCGTTCAAATATTATGACCATATGTTTAAACTCCCCTCAATATGAGGGGGTTACAAATTTTATATGGTAATAATTTTTGAATGCTGAGAAATAATACTATGAAACTTAAAATTTATCAATGAATATAAATCTAATTGAGAATAGATTTACAAAGAGTATTTTATCAACAAGGAGGAAAGGGGAAGGAAATTTTGCGGCTTATTTGTTCCCAGGCTCCAAATCCTTTTTTTTTCACTCCTTCATAAAATGTTTCATAACTTTTCACAATAACATTAAAAGTATTTAAAAAAGATTTAACAAGATTTAAATGATTAAAATTGTTCTTTATGCGTCTTCAGTTTTTTAAAGCAAAATCTACAATTGGATATCATTTACATTAAAAAGCCTAGCACCACTAGAGCAGGTCGATTTTGGAATCAGAGGTTTGGTAATAAAGAGATTTGATTATTAGATGAAAAAAATGTGCTTCGTAAATTTTTTTTGTTTTCATGAAATTTAAGTTGATCTAAAATGATTTTAAATATTGATATAATTAATTAAAAAATTTTTTGCAATGCTATCTTTACCACTAACATTTTCATACAAATTAAAGATTGCCCCACTTACACAAAATAAAGAAATGTTATAATTGTAATTGTGTGGGAAAAAAGAAAATTTTGGAGGACGAAAAATAATGTTTTCAAACAAGCGTAAAACACGAAATTGCACAAAAAGCAAGTTTGGTGGAAGTCCTAACCCTCTTACAAATACAAACAGAAACACCCACAAACACCCACAAACACCCACAAACAGACTCAAGATTTTTATTTTCTTAACTTTTCCAAGTTATTGCTTTAGTCTAATTGTAAAACTGAAAAAATAACCATGGAAAAAAGTTAACACTCGTCTACCATTAATGTCCACTTATTGTGTTTCTACACAATAAGTGGACATTAATTAAGTTTGAGTACTTTTAAACATATTCAGGTTAATTAAAGTAAATGCAAAGTATTAACAGAAAAAAACACTTCTAAAAAATTGGATAGGCTTTTCGATATCAATTCCTGCACATGTGATCTTAAAGTTGTTCTTTGTGATGATAAAAATATCAAATGTAGTCAAGATAATTGTCCTGATACTCATATTTTATGCACATGTAGTCCAGATAAAAAAGAACTATGTTATTTTTTAATAATAGATAATTAAAATAAAAATATTTTTTAAATAAAATAAACATTTGTATATTACTAGTATGATAAAGTTTAACATTATGAATTTCATATGCTCAATATTATCAAATAATATTTAGATTCCTGTAGAAGAAAGGTTATATTTAAAAAACCAGACAGAAAAGTCAGGTCCAAAAGGATCATTTCAACTTGGCTCAGTTGATCATGAATGGTCTATAAAAGAATATTTAAAGAAACATAAAACTGAATATAAAAATGTGGAACAATCATTACAACAAGAAACATTTAATTTATTTCCAGCAATAGTATTATCAGAATCTGATTCAGTATCTGTCATTTCTAGCTCTAGTGAGGTAATTAACTAATAAATTGAAAGGTTCATTATTTTACATTTTTTTAAATTTACTTTCTTTTTTTTAACATATCACTTTTTTATAATAAAATATTTTGTTAATGAACTTTATAACTTTTCTTTTAGATATGGGAACCAGGAAGTAATCCATCAGGAATTTATAATCTTTGGAAGTTTCCAAAGTTTGCTATTGAGCTGATCAGAAACAATAATTTCGATTGGAGCTGCATTAGGAAATGCTCTTATGCTCCATCAGAGCCTTAATGTTGATGGTAAAATTCATAATGAAACTTTAGTTATAAGAGAAATAAAAAAAGAAGATGGTGAGGTTGTGTTGAAGAGATCAACAGAGAAAGAACATCACATGACTGTGACTAAAGAACTTCTCCCTTACCTTTACAGTGGGGAGTATCTTACTCACGAAGTTTTACCTCTTGTTGGAACAACAGGAAAAAAACAAGCTCAGTGCCTATACGAAGTTCTTGAAGAGTATGATTCTTTAAACACTCTAAAAGCAGTTTTGGTTGACAATACTTCAACAAACACGGGTCATAAAGCAGTAATGGTTGTGCAGTTAGAGAAAAAACCTGGACAAATACTTCAGACTATAGGCTACAATCTTCATCAGAGTGAGCTTTGCAGGATTACAGTTTTAGTATGTTTTAAATATAGTTTTATATCAAGATACACTTTGAAAAAAAGCAAGCATAAAAAATAAATTTTCATATTTCTTTTGCTTATTTCAATATATGATGTCAATAGACTAATATAAACTGTTACAAAATTAAAATGCTGTAAAATTGTCTTGCTGGCCTCATATTTAAATTTTTAATGGTTTTTTACATTTTCACCAATATTTGAAAGGTAAAGAATTGCCATCTTTGTGGTAAAATTGATATACTGAGCTCAAAAATCACAGTAAGGAAAAAATTATATCAGTTTTAGAATGCTGGGGGTCTCTTGTTTACATTTAGGAAAAGAAATTATTTCAATATAAAAGTTGGTTTTGAAGGGTTTTGCTCACCTTTGGTCCACTGTGCATTGGTTTTGATAAAGGGCAGGTAATTATATGAAAAATTCTTGTCTGTGATAAATTTTATTAATCTTGAACCTAGTGTTTAAAAATTTGAAAACTCAAGCTACAAATATTTATTTTTGCTAATATATAATTTTATATATTTTGTTTTTTGTTTTAACACTTATTGTTTTGACAGAAATCAAAAGTCATAAACAGAAGGGACCAAAAGCTGGAATCTGTCACTGGGAGTAAACTATTCCTATGTATATACAATCTATAACTTAAATATACATATAAATGTATAGAAAATGAAACAAAAAGAGAGAAACAAAGAATAAAATAAACTCACCTATAAGTATCATTGGATCTTCTTCATTTTCTTCTTTTATTTTATTATACTCAGAAAACAAAGACTCACGAACAAATCTCACAACATCAATAATCTTTTTAAATACTTCAGCTGCAACAAATAGAAATTTACCAATATTAAAATATATAATAAATATAATACAATTTAAACAAATATTGTTTAGAACTAAAAACAAATCATGAATCAAAAAAAAAAAATCACCCTGCTTAATGGCTTTTGTACTTTTCAAAACATTTTTTGTAATTTTTAGAACATGATAGCCATTCTAAAACAAACAAACAAAAAAAATGTTCATACAATTGGATAAATTTAATTATGTTCTTCTTCAATGCCATAAATAAGACAAAGTTGTTTAGTAAAACTTTAAACCAAGTGATTTAGAAGCTTTAAATAAAGTATTCTAGATGTTCAATTATATTTTTTAATGCAAATAACAATATGAGTTGAGAAAGGTGCACCAAAAAGTAGAATATATGCACAAATATTGAAATTGAATCTGAAAAATTCTTTTTCAATCGAAAAAAAAGAAAGTGTCGATTAGTAACAGTTCAATTACCAAATTTAGTTAGCATCTGAACTATTCAGGCAACTGTCCTCAATTGACTGAATAGCTCTGATTCTCTCAGAACAACCAGCAGCTTAACGTGCGATACACAGTCACGGAACTTAACATATTATAAAGATAAACTTGTTAACCAAAAAGAGAAAAAAATTGAACCTTCCTAAGAGGAAAAATGATGCTATCAAAATAAAACCAGCAAAAAACGAGAAAGATCATTATTGCTAAATATCTACAATAAAACTGTTACCTAGATTGCGGAATATAAAATTTTAAAGGAACCTGAAACAAACTTCTAATGTTAGAACAACAACAAAATAACCATTTTTAGTTAATAAACATCTAGCATGCTTAAAAATTTGATAGTAAGTGTTGTTTCACAATAAATGTTCCACTGAAAATGTTTTTTCACAATAACTTGTGTTAACATAATGATAATTTGAATTTAGAAAAATCTGGATTCAAATTTAAATCTGATATTTTTTTATGGCTAAAACTTTCCAGAAGTTTCTGAAATTTAACAGAATTATATAGATCATTCAAAAAACTTTTGGTTTAATAGCAGTCACAGAAAAGCACAGGTAAAATTCGAAGTAAAATTTTAGTTTACGTTTTAATAGTTTTTGTAAATGTAGTATTATTTGAATAACTATTATTATGAGTTTGATTGTACCCAGCAAATGCATTTTGCTATGTGTATGGACAATATATAAAGAGAAAAGTAATATATATTAAGTGCTTGCACATTTTACAGCATACTACAAATTGTACAAGGTCTACAGTCCAAACTTCAACATGCTTGTTAGGGATCAAGACAAGTTCTGGGCATGTGAAGAATGGCTTCACATGGAAATATGAAAATCTAAAAAAGCAGCTTGTTTATTTGGTAGTGCTTTATATTATAAAACTTCAATGATTTTGATGTTATACCATTCAAGGAGTTCCAACTGACAAAATCTCTTCTGATTTTCAAAAAAAACCTGATTATTTACAAGAACTAATAGAATAATTTTAATATTATTTTAATATTAAAATTAAGTTTAATATTACAGGAGTTTAATACTATAAGAATTTATTACTATAGGAGATCATATAGGAACTATGACAATTAAAAAATTTCATTTTTAACTCATGTAAAATTTTTATTTTTTAAAAATAATTTTTTTAGTGCAACAAAGTTTTAAAGCAAAAAAATTCAACAAAAACCTTCTTTGACCATATAAAACCAGGTTTTTATTTTTTATTTCATTTTTTTTTTTCTCAGACTAAATAGTTTTTTATTTTTTCTTAGACCAAATAGTTTTCTGTTTTTTCTTTGACCTAAGTTTTTCTTTTTTCTTTGACCTAAGTTTTTTATTTTTTATTTGACCAATTGGTTTTTTACTTTTTACGCCAAATAATTAATAATACGCCTAAAGAGCTTCTTTGATCAAATAGATTTAAGAAAAGGATAGTCTAACAGGGTAAGAAAAGTTATAATAAATAATATTTTTCAACATAAAAATAATTTTTTGCCTTGATGGCACAGATTAATGGAATTTTTATTTGCATAAAGAACCAGTAGTACAGCAATGGCACCAGATAGATAGGTGGTGTTTCATCATGGTATTTGTTTAAATAAATAAAGGGTAAAGGCTACCTTCTATTTGTTAATGAACTTTTACAACATGAAGAATTAGTCATTGTCTGTAAAAATTATCATTTCCACCAAAATTTTTATACAGATATTACAGTCATAATAGAGAAGGATTATAACTAATATAACTGTGTTACACATTATAACTGTGTTAACTAATATAACTGTGTTACATATTATTATAATTGTGAAATTAAAAGTTTGACATAGTTTGATATATATAAAGAAACTTTCTTTGGTTTTAGATTCCAATTATGAATCCTTGGTCAGCCCAATAATGAGCTTCTGACACAAGCAGTAACACTAGTAACAAATCACAGAAAATGTCACTATACATTTTCTAACTTCAATATGGGCTGTACTTCTACAATAATATGACTGGTGTACTTGAGGCTATAGGATTCATCTATAATCTGAGTGATTAGAGTTTTTGAGATTGAGAGTTTATTCAGGAACCTCAAATCTGTGCTTTTTCACAGAGGAAATAACTACACATTACTCCCTATGACTCATTCTGTTCATTCTGAAGAGTACAACACCACGGTCAAAACGCTAAGTGTTTTGAAATATGACCACTATGAATGGGAGGTCATGAAAGAGAGATCATTAATGACTTCAAAATGATATCATTCCTGATGAACTATAAAGTCTAGTAAACTAGTATCCATAACTGTTACAGTCAAGGAAATGATACATGTAAATGTATGATTAGTAGGGTGTTGACTTTTAATACTTTTAATGAATTTTTTGAAACAACATAGCATTATTGGATAAGTATTTATGTATATTATTTGAATATATCTGTTATTTGTTTTAATTTTAAAAAAATCACCCACCACACCAATCATATATTAATGTTAAGCTTTTTGAAAAGATAATATGTTATATTGGGTGGGTATATTATATATATATCAAATAAATAAATTATAATATATTTTTAATATTATCTTTCATACAAATCAAAGATAATTTAATTTCATTTTGAAAACGTATATTTTTCAAATATTACAAAGAATTTGGAAAAAAATAAATTTCACAATGTTACTAGAAAACTGTGTAATGGGTATGGACAATTTGAACATTTTAAAAAAAATGCCATCTAAAACTTCAGTGATTAGTAGATTCAAATCAATTGTGTGTTTAGAAAAGTCGAAGTTAAATCAAACCAAAATAATTTGCTTAGAACTGAGAGAATTGCAGCAAAAATTTTTATTTCCTACTTTATCGATGCAATCTGTTCATCGTAAAGTAAAAAATCTAACAACAGATTATGATAAATATTTAAGAACCAAAAAAAATCAGTTAACACTTCTTTTACTCAATTGTTTGATATTGCTGATTTGAAAGGTGTGTGGCTAGCAGGTGAAGACAAAAATTTTTACAATATGCAGATAGAAACACAAGGAAGAGCAGGCTGTTGTTCTAATAAAGTACCTGATTCAACAAAAATTCATCCATCAAGGAGAATCAGAAACATCCAAAACAAAAACTCACCTACAGAAGATACTGATATTAATACTGATTCTGATACTATGGTTATTGAGACTAGTGGGGATGAATGTTTTGACACACCAATACCCAATACTAACTCCAGAAAAAGGAGGTATTACACAACTTCATCAGTTTTGAAATTATCAACAGCAGCAAAGTTATCATCAAGAAAAGTTGCAGCAGTGTGCAATTTTTTAGTTAAAGATATTGAATTAGATATAGACACACCTAATCATTCATCAATATATAAAGCAACTATGAGAAAAGCAAAAAACTTAAAAAATGTCATACAAAAAATTTTTTAAAAACTGGTGCCTCCATTTGGATGAAAAATATTTTAACTATAATAAACATCAAGTAGTGGTTCTGAAAAATGGTACAAAAGAAGTAAAGTTAGCTGTTCTTGTCTCAAAAGATGATAAAGAAAAAACGATTTTAATGGATTGGTTGAAATTATTGATTCTTTTGATTTATGGAATTGTATAAAAATGGTTATAATAGAAACAACTGCTGTTAATACTGGTAAAAAAAAAAAATGGTACAATAACTAGACTACAAAAAAAAATTTAGTGACCAGGACATTTAGTGTGGATTTGATAATCCACAGTATGTTTTATTTCGACATCATGTTCTGGACAGAGTATTGAAGTTGGTCATTGATTCTGTAAAGTGTGTCCTGAAAAGTCTACCTCACCTGACTTGCACTATTCTTTTATTCAATTCATTCTTGAAAATTACTAAAATCTTGTCAAAACAATGGTCCTTCTTTAAACTGCAAAATTTTAGGATGGAGAGATGATATGAAATTGTTTTCAATTTATGCAAAGCATATCTTTTTTGTAAAAAAATTGGATATTTTCTCAAAATTAATTTTCCTAATACATTATAATCTCTTCACTGTGTAAGATGGAATTTAAGAGCACTTTTAAATTAAAATGCTTCTTGTTAACTCATCTAGAGATCAACTTGAAGTAATTTGTAATTTTGTTCGTGGTAACTGGCACAAAATATGGTTTGGGAAACATATTTTCAATGAAAATGATTTAAGTGAACTTGAAGAAGATATCAAGAAAGTTGGTAATTGCCAGAAAGCTCTTGTTTGAAAACCCATTGGACTAAAGAACCATTAAATATTGCAATTATCCAGTGCAATAATATATGTGCTGAAAGAGCAATAAAAGTTGCTCAAGATTTTCCTTGATGTACAAACTCTGAGAAACTTAATTTAAAATTTATTTTGTTTAATATTAAGATGTAAAAAAAAGAAAATAAATTACAAACTGCAAATACAAATACAATATTGTTTTAATGATTAGAAATATTTTTGTTTTTTATTGGTGGGTAATCTTTTTGAAAAATTAATGTAAATGAATATGATTTTATGTTGTTATACATAATTGTGCATTAGAAAATTATATTGGGCATATGTGTTGTAAAAAAGTCAGCACCCTAATGATTAGGTTATGATACAGTGTATTAACTATGATTATAATTAACTTCCCAAAAAAAAAATCGGCTTTATTTAAATCAACTTGAAAAAATACTTACTGAGAAAGAAAAGTAAACACGGAAAAAATTATAATTAGAAAACTTGAAAATGTAGATTTTATATAAATTTTCAAATATATAATATACACCATTATTTTTTAAATGGCACATAACCAAATAAAAAAAAAAAAACTAAATTTAAAAAATCACCTCAACAGAGCGTTCACACACAGGAACAAGACTAAAAAAATAATTTAGTTTTTTCATGCTGTTTTTAGATCTATGTTAAAAATTAAATAAGAATTCATAAACCATTTGGAAATTAATTGTCACTCACTAACACTTACGCTGAAAACGAGACCAAAGGCTTAAACAGATACGTATACAGTTTTTGACTGAACGATTTTATTTTAGTTTTAAAATCCTGAACCATTTGCATTGCTTTAATCAGGTCTGCCACATTTATATTGCTTCCTAAACAAAGAATATTTGTAACAACTTTTGTAAACTTTAAAAAAAATTAAAATTAAAAAATATAAACAAATTAACTATTATTTTTAAAATTATTAATTATTTTACTGAAAAAGTTTGGGAATTAAACAAACCATTGGAACGCAAGTTAATTTTAAGTGATGTTTTTAAATGACCATTAATGGAATCCCAAGATGCATTAGAAGAAAATGTCCAAGAAACTAAATTCCCCCATGCTTCTTCTAGATGGATACAAAGCTTTGTCTGTTGATTGACAAACTCATTCTAAAAATAAATGATATATATCTATATATTTCATGTAATAGTGGTGTAAAGCATTTTTTTTTTTAAAGTCTCAGAACTCTATTACATTCCTGGCAATATACCACTCAATTTTGCTTATGAATTATTTTGCTATATGGGTTCATGCTTTAGTCTTATAGCATCAAAACAGAAAAAAAGAAAATTGTAAGCTACATTAGTAATATTAAAAGACACCTACATACCAACATTGCACAACTTTAGGAATGCAATGAAGTAATTATTAATTAGTATAAGGTATAATAAATGGTATATATTATTTACAAGTGATGTAATTACTAATTGGTATAAAGTATAAGAATACTTTGCCTAATCTTGATTTATACATTTTAAATTTTTATTTATTTACCAATGCACAGCCAAGATGATTAACATATGATATATAATTAATATATAAAACAATATAGGTTAATATATAAAAGCTCCTTTTTCTTTTCCCCTTTTTAAAAACTTTTTAAAACTTTTTGAACCACAAAACATAACAAGTAGGGGTTAATCCTGGTAACTTGTTCCCAGGAAATTCCTGGGAAAAATAATAAATTGAAATTCTGAAATCCCGGGAAATGTTTTTTGGGATTTCAGGATTTTTTTTTTCTGCTACCCATGGATTTTAATAACGAATGGTTAACTTTGATTATTTTGATTTTGATAAAATTTAATTAAAATAAAACTACCTTGATTTACCTATGATTTATTACAATAAAAAAGCTGATAAAAAAACAATCTTAAGAATACTCTATTAACTGATTGTTGAACTGATAGTTTAACAGTTAAACTGATTGTTTAACAGTTGAACTGATAGTTTAACAGTTGAACTGATAGTTTAACAGTTGAACTGATAGTTTAACAGTTGAACTAATAGTTTAACAGGTGAACTGATAGTTTAACAGGTGAACTGAACATTTAACAGTTGAACTGATATGTCTAAGAAGGAAAAGCGATCTTATTGGTTTATTAAGGTTTTTAGATAATCTACAGTCTTTAAAAAGGGATATGTATTATAACTTATTTTGCATACCATCTTTATAAACCAGAGATCAAACGATCTAAAACAGAGATGATAGATATAGCTATTGATATTTTCCCCATATTTAAAAATATACTAAAAGTACGAAATAAAACTAATGATAATATCAACCTCAACAATATTATGATTAATGATAAGCTTAAAAATAGTAATATCAGTTTAGAAAAGGTATCGAAACCTATGGCTGAAACAATAAAAAAAGTTTGTGAAAAAAAAAGACAATTTTGTAGTTATTTGCAATAAATCAACTATGCGTCAAGAATTCAATTTATTTGAAGTTTTAACTATTCTACCATCCAGTGTTGAATCTGAAAGGGTGTTTAGATCAAGTTTTATTTTTTACAAAGTTTAGAAAAAAAAAATTTAAAGTTTAGTTTTTTTATCAGACAGTCATCTGGATGAACTGTTTTTTTTTTAAATTCACTTTAAATAACAAAAATAATTTTAAAAATAAAGTAAAAAAAAAAATTTTTTGATTTGTTTGTATTTTATTTAAATGTACGTTCCCAGATTTTTCCCAGAATCTCAGGAACACTATGAACGATTCCCGCTATACCTAATAACAAGAGCTAAGAAACATAATTTTTTACCAAAAAAGAAAACTAAAGAACAGAACTACCAAGAACATGGTGGACTTCAATCTTTGTGCTTCAAACTCACAAAGCAAATGCTTTAACTATACCATAGTTACCATTAATGTCAACAAAATTTACAGCACAATTAAAAAAATTAGAAAAGACTTTTAATGCTGTGAAAAAAAAAGACATTTGATTATTTTGTATAGATGTTTAGAAAATTTTTCTTTCCTATTTAAAAAAAAATAAGAGTAACCAATTTATCTTTCTATGACTTAATTGTGTTGAAATCTTAGAATACTAGGATAATTCTAATATATTAAACTATATTTTATATATCATATCTCTATAGCTATATGTATATCATATATACTGTATACCATATAGCAATACAATAACTGTTTACACACACACACACACACACACACATATTTATTTATTGGATTATCATTTCTTGAAAGCACTATACACATTAAAAAAATAAAATATACATACTCACACACACACACACACACACACACACACACACACATTTTTTAGATCTATTTGTACAAGTTACTAATCTTGTAATAAGATTAAACTCGTAAAACAATAAAAGATAAAGTATTCTTTTTTAATGTAAATAAAAGTAATAAAAATAAGAAAGAATACCCTTAAGGCTTTAAAAATCTTTATCTCACAGTTTTTAACATCAAATGATGCAAGTTCAGACTTCTAAAAAAATAATTATAATGTATGTGTATTGTAATGTAGGTGTAATAATTGTTTGTATGTGTAATAATTATAATGTAATTATAAGTTATAATGTAATTTCAATGTAATTATAAACAATAAAATAATTTTAATGTATGTGTAATAATTATAATGAATGTGTTATGCATTCATCAGTTATTTTAATCAATTATATAATAAAATATAATTTATACCATTTTTCAAATAGAAAAAAAAATTTTTAACAATAAAAAAATAAAAACATAAAATAAATATTTGAACTTTACAAAACTAAAAATACTTTTTAAAAATACTTTATACAAACAAAAAACTATTAAACTTTGACTTGCATATTTCAAACTTCATTTTGAGTACAAATCGGTCCAAAATCAGTGTCAGAAAGCATCAAATGGCATATTATTGGATTTGTCAAATCAAAAGCACAAAATTTGAAACTTTTGTATCGAATCTTGTTTTTAAATTTAATGTGCAAAAAACAGTGAAAACCTGGAAGGTGACAAGGGACATCACCAACAAGCCCTGTTTTGGAAGGTCATCAAAGCTTAGTATCATGACAAAACTAGCCAGGGTTGGCAAAAAAATCCAACCCAAAAAAACCAAAATATATTTGGGTTTTTTTTTAAATGTCATATTTTACAACTGATAACTCTGATTTTAACACTTATAAGCATCTATTATCAGCAGGTGCAACTTTTATGCTGTAATTATTCTTGTAAACACTGTATTTATATACAAAATGGTATTTAGAATATATCTAAAACCAACCAATCTGTTTTTGTAGCAAGTTGATTATTTATTATTTTTTTTAAACATATAGTTATTATAAATATTATTGAAATATGTATTAAAACATTAAATTAGTTAAATACTTATAAAGGAAATGAAAATTATTCTATTAACTAAATTTCAAAGTACAAGAAATTACTAGTTATTTAGTATCTTTATTCTCCTCTCGAATGTCTATATTTCCAAACAAGCGTTCTATAGATATCATTTTATATTGGTATTTGATCTTTTATTTTTTAAAGCTTATGTTGTAAACTGTAAATTTCAGTACAAAGCCACAAGCAAAATACAATATATAAAATTGTTAAAATTATTCACAGTCTAGAAATGGAAAGTTGTCAGGCAAAAAAAAAAAAAATGCTACAGTTTACTAGACTTGTCCTTATTAAGTGCATACAACTTTAAAACATAAAAAAAATTATGTTATGTGCAAGCAAATTTCATTCAATGAGAGAACATGTTGAAAACTTGTATATAGTTCACAAGGACAAGATTTGTTGGGAAAAATGATACTCATGCTCATCTGTATATTTTACAGGTTTTGAATCAGCTACAAGTTTACAACATGTACCGTCAACAGGGGTCACTATGAACAGCGGATTGAAAATGAACATCAGTACCAAGTTTGCTAAAAAGTGAAGAAACACATGCAATAGAGCTATATATTGTGTTACTTTGATTCAGTTGCAAAACTGAGTCGGTAAAACATCTTCAAGTAAAAAAAAAAATCTGGTGGTGAAGACACTATAATGGTTATTAACAAATTCATTTTAGATATTTCAAGAACAATCAAAGCTTAGGCACAAATCCATTTGCAAAACAAATCTCCCCATAATCTAAAAAATAAAAGCATTATGAAGTGTCAATATCATCCCAAATTGGCTAATCATTACTCTCTAATCTTAAACATTTGGATATAATTGCTAAATTATTTTATGTAATTTTCTATAAAGAAATATTTTAAATATTGGTTACATTATTTAAGTTCTAAATATCCATGTTAGATTATCTGAACTTCCTGTTTCTGATCATTCTTATAAAGATTGTCGATTGATGATGGAAGCCCAAAAACTTGGCTTACGATGGAATCTTACTATTTTAAAAATACTAATATGTAAAGTAAGAAAATTAAGATAATTACTGCATAATGTTGATCAGGCTGATAACTTTTCCAGGAAGCTGGAAAAAAAATGTAGTGATGTAAAATGTAACAGTTTTCTTTTATGATGCATAAATGTTTAAAAAGTGTTTATAGTCATCCTGATTGACAATAATTTACAAGGTTGCAACATCATGTGGCAAACTTGTTGTTTACATGTTGTAAACTTAGTTTTTGAAATGATATGTTGAGCATGTTAGGATAAAAAACTTATTTGCAACATTTATATTGTCTTACTAACTTTGAATAACTCAATTGTCATAATAATTTTTATATTGATTTATTTTTTTGGTCAAAAATAATCTGAACATGTTTTTAATTTAGTACAATTAATTAACATCATTTATAGTTGATGGAATCCCTTTTTCTAGTGGACTAGCGGTAAAACATTTGGCTCGCAATCAGACGGTTAGGGTTCAAATTATCTCTGCTGAAATTACTGTGCTCAATCTATTTCTCCGCACACCGCCTTTGTTTAAAAATATTAATTGTTAATGTTGTTTGTTAAAAAAAATGGTCATGTTAAGGATTGAGAAAAAACAATTTTTAAAAATGAGTTACTCCCTTGACTAAAGTGGTCATTGGAGCAATAGGGAGGTGAAGATATGAAATTTAAAAAAAAATTATTGTGCACATATAATGGTAAAAATTTGGTATTTTAATCGGTTTTTAAAAAAACCCAAAAAACCCATAAAACCCAAAAAAAAACAATAAAACCCATTGAGGTTGGGTTTTTTTTTAAAAAAACCAGGGTTTTTTTTAACCCTGAAACTAGCATATTTAGAATAAGAAAAATAAATTATTATCTAAATCTTTTTAGCAATTAACAAAAATATTCAATTAATCCTTTTTTAATTAAAATATCAGCAGAAAACTTGTTAAAAAAATGTTAGCAAAATTGATATCGGGTCTAACATTACAATAAGGAAACCTATCCTCACAACCATAGATTATTGTAAAAGATTCAGACAGTAAACTAAAAAGTAAGTACCTAAGCTAAAATAATTGGCAACTGAGAAATATCAAATTTTATTTACAAGCAAATGATCTGTGGAAGCTCAGCAGGCATATGAGGATGTTTATTCAACAAAGATCTAGGTATCTGGTACTGTGATAATTAAAAAATTAAAATAAAAGATTAAGTTGCCTGCACAACTGTAGTGGCCCTCTCTAAAGCCTTGGGGAGGTAAATTTAAGAAAAAAAATAGATGAGAAATATAATTGCCATTCAACCAACATATCTATAAAAACTTGAATTGTGTATTATTATATCACTAAGCTTATTGTATAACAGAACCAAATTTTGTATAACGTTATTTTACAGAACCAAATTTTGTATAACGTTATTTTACAGAACCAAATGATACAAAAGAGGAAGAAAAAAAATAGTAAAAATACCATTAAACATATAACACAAAAAAAATAATAAAGACATGGTACACAACTTAACATTAACTAAGATAAAACATGGTATACAGCTTAACAGTAATTTAGATTCACTATCAAAATTAGAAACATTGACTTTAATTTAAATAAAAGATGAAAAGTTAATGATTATGAAAACAGACCCTTGCATCAGGGTGCTAGCCAGAAAAAAAATCTTAAACAGCATTTTTGTTATATTGGGAAATTTAGGTCAGCTGGTGAATAATAAAAGCAAAAAAACTTTTGCATTTGTAAATAAAATAAAATAAAATTATTAAAATTTATGTAAATTTAATTCTCTGAATAAAAAAACATAAATAACTTATTTTAAAGTACATTACTAATTAAGATGCAATAATTTTTGTAACTTTCCTCACTTAAAATAAACAGTAAAAATGTAAATAAAGAGTTTTTGAATAATAACAATAATTAAAAAAAAAAAAAACAATTTATTAAACATATTGAAAAATCTAAAACTAGAGAGTAATGACATCAATTATTAAAAATTTTTAACTTTTGAATGAATGAACTTGCTTGTTAATGACAAGACTTTTTACATAAATTTTTTTTTCCTCAATCCACTTAATTCATTTCTTTGTCGTGCTTACTAATTATATTTTCTAGACGCCTAGCATAACACTTCTGATTCTGATAAAGGTTGTTGTTTTTTTAAATAATTTTAAAATATTAAACAATTGGGAATTCTGCGTTATACATGGTGCTATCAGGCTGGCCAACACCCTATACATATTATGCAAAGACAAAAATTTAGCCTGAACAAAAAACACCTCTAAAGGTGTTTTTTGAATTTCTTCAACTGGTCTGTCAAAGTATAAATAATTCCTTCTGAATAGAGCTTAGTACAAGGATTTACATTATATGGTGTATAAAACATATTTACAATACGTAAATATAAATAATGTGCTTAAAACTTACTACAATACTAAGATGGAAAGCAGCTGCCACAAAATCATTAGATTGAACATTCTTACTCAAAGATAATTCTTTGTGACACTAAAAATAAAATATTGTTTTTAAATGAATTTTATTTGTTCAAACATAATATCTATATATATATACATGCTTGTAATAATAAAAGATTATCCACAAAATAGAAGCTAAGGATAATTCATAATTGATCATATAATCATTAAAAAAAATTGTTTTAATTTAATAATTTTTTTTTTTAATTAATTCAATTTAAATATAAATTTTTAGTCATTTAGCTTCTTATAAGTACACACATTTTTCGATTGTTTTATTTTCTTTTTTGATTAATATATAAATGTAAAAATGATACAATATAAAAATCATTTATAAATCATTTATAAATATTATTAAAACTAGAGTCTCTCAGCACTTTTTTTATAAATTAATAGAAATTTATTTACAGATATGTAAATATATATGCAATAGCAATTAGTCATTTGATATTACTCAAATATAAAAATTCTATTTAGATATCATTACATACAAACATCTGTAAGTGTAAACATTATAACAT